ATCACTACCACTATCAGTACCACTACCATCACCACCACTATTGTTGCCATCATTACCACTACCATTGCCACCATCATTACCACCATCACTACCATTACCATCATCATTACCATTACAACCACAACTGCCACCATTACCACCATAATCACAAATGCCACCATTGCACCACCACAATTATCAATACCACTACCACCATCACTATGATTACCATTACCATTACCACCATCACTACCATTACCAACACTACTATCTTTGCTACTACCATTACCACCATTACTGCTATCATCACATTACTACCAGAAATACATCAACACTATCTCTGCACCACTGCCATACTAATACCATACCACCATCACTATCATTATTGCTACCATTACCACTATTATGAATGCCATTACCACCATCATCATTACCACTACCATTAGCACCATCAGCACTGCCATTGCCACTACCATTATCACTATCACTGCTATTACCACCATTACCAACAATATTACCATTATCATTGCAACTACCATTACCACCATCATTTCCATTACCACCACCACTACCATTATCACCACCATTACCACCGTTGCTACTGTTACCACCATCATTACCATTACCACCACAACTACCACCATTACCAACACCACCATAATCACAAATGCCACCATTGCAACTAGCATTACCTCCACCATTACCATTACCACCACATACTGTCATTACCTCCACTACTATTGCCACCACAACCAAAAATAATTATGCTCCATTTTCATTACCACCACTACCAAAACCACCATTATCATCAATTTTACCACCACCATCATTACCATCACCACCACCACTATTCCCACCATTATCATTATCACCACCATCATTACCATCACCAACACCACTATTCCCACCATTATCATTACCATTACCACTAGCCCTAATACCACCTCTACACCATCATCACTACCACTGCTACCACCAAACTGTCGCCACCACCTGCCCGAGGTTTACGTCAGACAGCCAATCTAATGAAAACATGGAATGTCTATTCTTTGCATCAGACCAGACTTGCCTCTGTGGCACATAGTAGATATCTGATTGTGTTTGGGGACTGCAATGCAGTATTTGATGGAGACCAAGCTAACTGCAAAATATTTGCCAGTTTCCTAAACTCCAGTCTCTCCTGCCCAAAGGAACAGACTGAGGGAGAGGAAGTGCTTTGGTTTGCTCTGGGTATTTCTAATCAGTTTGCAGTGCTGATGGGCCCTATTATCTGTGGAATACCTTTGAAGGGGAAATGCTTGATGCATTTCATTAGTCTATTGGAGACTGCCTGAGGACAAGGCAAACTTTATTTCACGACCCAACTGACTAATGATTAGGACTTGCATCTATCCCTGTTAGATATGAATCTCTTGCAGACAAACAAGATTTATAACTGAAGGAATTTGCTGAAACTGGTCAAGGACATTTTTTAGCAAATAATCTCTATCCAACCTACTACTACAGCTGTTTCAGGTTTAGCCACCAACAGTCAATATGAACTTGAGGTGGATCCTAGTGCCTGACTGACGCAACTGTGAGGAACCCCATTCCTGAAGGGAATGGTGATGATTAAACTAGTGGCCATATATGTCATCCCTGCTTAGTTACTGAATATTGGTGGAAAAATAATCTTACTATTCTGGCTGCCATTTGACAATTTGGTACCCTTTCACTGAACCTGTACATGTGTATTCATCCGTCTTTGGAATGGGAAAGGGGATCACTGGGACTGTAACATTCAAGGCATGACAATGTTAAGCATAGGAGACAAGGTGCCTTCAACCTTTGAAGATATATCAGAGACTACTTACTGAGATTAGAGATGGAAAAGTTTAGATTATTGAAACAATAGCAAATCTATATACTGGTAATGAAGGTGCCCTAGTGTGGGTTGGGGCATTTCTAGCTTTTCCTGTGAAATCAGGAATGTGGCAGGACTGTGTTTTTGCTTTTTGGCTGTATTAGTTAATGAAAACTATTACTTAGAGGCAAAATAGAAAAACATTAGGCACTCTCAAGATCATTGATGATGTTGCGCCTTATTTGACCCTTTTGAGACGCTAGTTTCAATTCTTGATGCATTTAATTCATAACTATCGGTTGTTAGACCAGGAACTTGTGACAAGAGCCTTGAAGAAGAGTATTAGGAGATGCTGGCACAATGTCTTAAAGGTCCTGTATGACAGGATAACTTTATTCTGTGAATTGGTGTCTCCTCTGCTAAAGGTACAAATAGCAAGACTACGTGTCTAGCTAATGACTGCACAGTGAGACCAGCACAGTCCCTATTACTTGCACAATCCAGGACTGCCATTCCAGGCTATAAAAACACTTGGCTTTACTTCCTAAGAATGTTTCATCCATCAGGTTGTCTTCTCAAAAGGTTGCCTATGGTTGACCAAGAAAGTTGTGGCTTAGGCAAGTATGGACCTTGTGGCTAATGTTAAAAAAAAACAAAGCAGAATGGCTGCAAACAGAGATTGAATACTGCAGTGAATAGTCCTCAGTACTAGTCCCAATTATTGATTAACTAACAATGATATTGATATGTTTACTTTAACAATCCTTTTTCGCAGGAGGAAACTGGCAGTGACTTTAAACCTCGTTCATACCAACTGGAGCTGTTCAACACTGCCCTAAATAAGAATTCGATACTCGTTCTCGGAAGTGGGTCAGGCAAGACATTCATCTCAATCCTCCTGATTAAAGAATTGGGGCATCAAGTGAATTGCAAAAACAGAAAGTTTGTCTCTGAAGCTGCTTTTACAAATAATTTGTGTTAAGACTAACCAATTTGCTGCTCTGTTATTCTTTTAAATCAGAAAAGAATATTTCACATTTCGATGATAGGTTACAGTAGTAAAAATAGTCATCATAGACTGAATACCTGTTATATATATATATATATATATATATATATATATATATATATATATTATATATATATATATATATATATATATTTACTCTCTCTCTCTCTCTCTCTCTCTCTCTCTCTCTCTCTCTCTCTCTCTCTCTCTTCTCTCTCTCTCTCTCTCTCTCTCTCTTTCTTTGTTTTTTTCATGTGTGAAATTTTAAAATGGTTGCATATATAAGATCATTTTCTTGTCTGCAAATATATATGATACCATGTAGAAATTTGGCTGGTTTAGTTTAAGTTTAAGGATTATATAGATATTTGTGGGTGTAGTGACCCACTTGATTCAGATTTTACACACTTGTCACTGAATATTCTTGTAAACAAATAAATTAAAGCAGAATAAAAATGCATTTTGATAATGCTTTTCAACATGTCTTCTTTTTATTATAACCTACCCTTTACATGTCTTTATAGCCTATTTTCAGACCTCCTGAACTTACTTAGTCCTTTCTACTAAACCCTTGTCTTTAAATTTTTCCCTCCTCCTTTAAATCTTATATGCATCTTACCTAGTTTCATTAACTTGTACAATTTGAAATAGTAAAATGGGTTACATTCCCAAATAAAGATAAAACACATCATGAAAATTTGAGTAACAAACTTCAAATACAAAAGAAGAGTATGATGTACATTGAAAATTTAGTATGTGTGTATTTTGAATATATTATCAACTCCCTTGGGGGAAATTAGGGTGTAAATACCATTTATATTAATTTTGAGGCCTAATACTCCTCTTTTGTGGGTACTCATAGAAAGTAATTTAATCAAAGTATTATATATGTGGTGTGAAATAACAAAAAATTACGTAAGTTAAAATGCTTTTGTCTTCTTCCTCTTAAGTAGTGTGCATCTTAGGTTTCACTATAATGATGGAAAATGCAATTGCAAATAGACATATAATATATGTTTCCCATACTTCAGATTCAAGGGTCCCTGAAAGGAGGAAGCAAAAGAACTGTCTTTGTGGTAAACACTGTACCACTTGTCTATCAGCAAGCAGAAGCCATTCAAAAGCACACACCGTTTACAGTTGGCAAGTATGAACACTCTATGGGAGTTGACTACTGGACTGATAAGGAGGTAAGTTGTTTCATATGGAAGAACATCAGATTCTTCCTCTCTCTCTCTCTCTCTCTCTCTCTCTCTCTCTCTCTCTCTCTCTCTCTCTCTCTCTCTCTCTCTCTCTCTCTCTCTCTCTTCTCTCTCTCTCTCTTCTCTTTCTCTTCTCTCTCTTCTCTTCTCTCTTTCTCTTTTCTCTTTCTCTCTTTCTCTCTTTCTCTCTTTCTCTCTTTCTCTTTCTCTCTCTCTCTCTCTCTCTCTCTCTCTCTCTCTCTCTCTCTCTCTCTCTCTCTCTCTCTCTCTCTCTCCTCTCTCTCTCTCTCTCTCCTCCTCTCTGTGTGTGTGTGTGTGTGTGTGTTCTTTCTCTTGTTGGTGTGTTCTCTCTCTCTGTGTGCTCTCTTTCTGTGTGTGTTCTCTCTCTCCTCTTTTCTCCTTCTGTGTCTCGTCTGTTCTCTCGTTGTCTCTCTCTTGTCTCTTTTGTTCTCTCTCTCGTCTCTCGTCTTCTTCTTCATTCTCTCTCTTCTCTCTCTGTCAAATGTGCTTTGTCTCGTCTCGTTGTTGCCTGTCTGGTTCTC